TTTAAATTAGAACGTTCATTTATTGCTATGAGTAGTATATCTGTCCAGTAAAGTGTACTCAACAACCGTTTCTTACATGGTCGTTTTTCCTGCTGCTACTGCTGCTGCAATCCATTGGAGCTGTTGAATCAGAATCTGCAACATTTCCACTCGTGACTGAAGGAATTGAAATTCCAGAATCACGAGAATCATCATCCTCAGTACACTGTAACGTTAAATGCAATAAATTTATGTCTTTGAACAACGCCTTTTCATCTGGAGTCTTCAACATATCTAAAAAAAACAAAAACAAAAAAAAAAAAGAAAGAGAAAGGAAAAAAAAAACAGAAAACGAGGAAAATCTGTTACCAGCTTTTTGGAACAATCAAACAGAACAAACAATTCAAGAAAATTTTTCTTGAGAAATACAGATAAACGAAACATTTTGAAAGGTAAATAGACAAATAAAACAATTTCGCAACATTTTTTCATAATTCGCCGGGTCGTCAAGGAAAAACGTGTAGCAAAAATGCAAAAAAAAAAAAAAGGAAAAAAAAAGGTAATAAATTTTCAAAACGATAGTTGTTTCTGCAACGGAGCCATTGAAATCTAGAAGATGCTAAAAATATTCAAAATTTGCACCTGACTTAGTGATCGTTACCAAAGAATGATGTGAACAGATGATCTGTTAGCTCAGTACAAATAGAGCTAGCAAAACACTTACTGTTTATTCATTCCAACACAGCCGTTTTTTGAACAAAAAATTTATTAAGGTGAAACTTCCGGTTAATTTACGCTGTAAAACTGTTCTTTACTGTTAACTGTCATATTGTCTTAACTATTGACTTATTCATTTTGGTATTATCTAATTTTTAAGCTTTAACAAGGATGAAATTAGAACAAGCTGAAACAGCTGCACCAAATAAACATTAGCCAATTAGTGGTTGAAATTAACAAGAAAAAAAGAAAAGGTACGGCACTTTTATAGACAAAACTAATCAGCTATCAGTCAGCTGCTATAACAGAAGTATCAAATGTAACCTGCTAAAGGTAATTCAACGTGACGTTTTAAAGATCAGTTCCACTTTCCAAACATAAGTCAGTAAATAGTTGGGTTTTTGACATTTTTTGGCTCTGACAAAGTACTACAGATAGCCAGAAGATAAAACGGGGTAATCTAGATTAGGCAAACTCAGTAACCTTCGAATCTTATTAACCAGAGAAGTTTTTTCCTTGATAAATAATGACTCTTTAAAGAAATTAGTATAAGCAACAACAGAAGTACGATAAATTGTTGATTTTTCATATCAGTTTGTGGTAAGATAAATAAATGATAAACAGTTGAAGAAAAAAAATCAAAAACAATATAGCTAAAAAAATTCATTTGACGACAGCTCCGTATTTTATCAACAAAAAACAAAAGATGATTTTCAAAAGAAAATGAAGACTTAAAAAACAAGATCTTTCGCAAAAAACTCAGTTACAGTCAGAAAGCTGTAAATTAGATGTTACAATAAAGAAAAAAAAATGTGAAATCCAAATTTTGAAATGTAAATTGAAAGAAAAATACTGTAAATTTGTTAAGCTTTCTGATCACCTAACTTTTTCAATAACTAAAAGTTTTTTTGTAGTTGTTTATATAAATAACTGGAAAAAAAGAATAGAAGGTGTTAAAGACGAAAGTATAAGTGCCGAAAAAAAAGGTGACGATGATAGGATGTCTGTAAAACGAAAAAAAAAAAGTGAGATAACATTTTGAAGGCATCCGACTTTTGAATCAGACGACAACAACAACAGTGCCTCAAACAGTGGCGGATTCAATGTTCAAACGTCAGTCACAGATCAAGACTATGTACCAAGTGCTTCGAAACCGCCCAACGTTGTCACATTGGTTTAGGTTTTTTATTAGAAAATAAAAATGGAGAAAAAGAAAAAGATAGAAGGAGACTAAAAATAAAGAAAATGGAGAAGAAAAGGTAATGAAGATTTGTGCGATGTTTCCTTCCTTTATTTTATTTCCTGTAAAAAAGTGGCAAAATATTTGGTGTTAACAAAAAAAAAAAAAAAAAA